GCTACGCTCATCAACTTTCAAAAATTACCAATTTTTTTCTCTAGGAAATTGATTAAATTTACAAATTAGCAGCTACTGCTTCTTACACCTTAGGTGTCTACGACTACTTGAATTTAGATTTAATGATTCAGCCGTTAACCTAATTTGGTACAAAAAATACAGCCAGCCGAAACTAAGAAAACTGTTCATGAACGTGGGGAAACCAATAGAAATAAAAAAAAACGTTTCTTTATTTTTTTAATGATTTTAGCAATTGGAAAAGCATTTTTGCGCTTATGCTCTTTAAATTTCAAAATCATTTTGGTTGACATCATTTTCATACAAATAGCTTTACTAAAAACACTGAATCAAGGGGTGATTCAATTGGATGACTGGATGAAAGTATGGCTCCATGGATGGCTGTATCAATGACTGAATGCAACGATGAATGGCTGGACGAAAAATGGATAGATCTTTGACTGATTTGATAGTTTGATCGATGGATGGGTAGGTGGTTGGACCAATGGACTTCTGGAACAAAAAACTAATTAGATGGATACCTAAACAGATGGATTGTTGGTTGCATGGCTGAAAGATGGAGGGCTAGATGGATACATGGCTCGATGAAAAACTGGTTGCATGGATAGTTTGTAATGCCTTGATGCATTGATGGACAATAGATGGAAGGATGAAAAAATGCATGGCTGGCCGACCTTTTTAAAATTTTTATTATACTGAAAAGACAAAAAGAGCCAGCAGACAGTTAGAAAGAGTCAACGAACGCCATTTAACAAAGAAAAACTTTCAAAATAAGAAGAAAAATCTGGCTTTAAAGCTCTTTGAATTTCTAGAACAACCTATGATTGACACTTTTTTTGCTAAAATTACCCGAATAAAAGAAAACTGCATCAAAAGGTATTTTTTTATTGTAGTGGGAAGCCTGATAATTAAAATATGTTTTAGAAAAACAGAAGTAGTTTTTCGTGACCTTCAAGTTTTCGCTGGTCGTTAGTGGAACTTGCCTCCTTTCCTCAGAGGAATTCAAGTTCAAGAAAAATCATAAATCACACGGCGAAAAATAAATTTGAGCCTTAACAAATTTAAAGACTTTTTCTGAAACAAAAACAAAGAGTAAAATCATCGCTACCTTTATAAGAGTCTGAACTGCGCTCATCAACTTTCAAAAATTACCAATTTTTTTCTCTAGGAAATTGATTAAACTTACAAATTAGCAGCTACTGCTTTTTACACCTTAGGTGTCTACGACTACTTGAATTTAGATTTAATGATTCAGTCGTTAATCTGAGTTGGTACAAAAAATACAGCCAGCCGAAACTAAGAAAACTGTCCATGAAGGTGGGGAAACCAATAGAAATAAAAAAAAAACGTTTCTTTATTTTTTTAATGATTTTAGCAATTGGAAAAGCATTTTTGCGCTTATGCTCTTTAAATTTCAAAATCATTTTGGTTGACATCATTTTCATACAAATAGCTTTACTAAAAACACTGAATCAAGGGGTGATTCAATTGGATGACTGGATGAAAGTATGGCTCCATGGATGGCTGTATCAATGACTGAATGCAACGATGAATGGCTGGACGAAAAATGGATAGATCTTTGACTGATTTGATAGTTTGATCGATGGATGGGTAGGTGGTTGGACCAATGGACTTCTGGAACAAAAAACTAATTAGATGGATACCTAAACAGATGGATTGTTGGTTGCATGGCTGAAAGATGGAGGGCTAGATGGATACATGGCTCGATGAAAAACTGGTTGCATGGATAGTTTGTAATGCCTTGATGCATGGATGGTTGCATTGATGGACAATAGATGGAAGGATGAAAAAATGCATGGCTGGCCGACCTTTTTAAAATTTTTATTATACTGAAAAGACAAAAAGAGCCAGCAGACAGTTAGAAAGAGTCAACGAACGCCATTTAACAAAGAAAAACTTTCAAAATAAGAAGAAAAATCTGGCTTTAAAGCTCTTTGAATTTCTAGAACAACCTATGATTGACACTTTTTTTGCTAAAATTACCCGAATAAAAGAAAACTGCATCAAAAGGTATTTTTTTATTGTAGTGGGAAGCCTGATAATTAAAATATGTTTTAGAAAAACAGAAGTAGTTTTTCGTGACCTTCAAGTTTTCGCTGGTCGTTAGTGGAACTTGCCTCCTTTTCTCAGAGGAATTCAAGTTCAAGAAAAATCATAAATCACACGGCGAAAAATAAATTTGAGCCTTAACAAATTTAAAGACTTTTTCTGAAACAAAAACAAAGAGTAAAATCATCGCTACCTTTATAAGAGTCTGAACTGCGCTCATCAACTTTCAAAAATTACCAATTTTTTTCTCTAGGAAATTGATTAAACTTACAAATTAGCAGCTACTGCTTTTTACACCTTAGGTGTCTACGACTACTTGAATTTAGATTTAATGATTCAGTCGTTAATCTGAGTTGGTACAAAAAATACAGCCAGCCGAAACTAAGAAAACTGTCCATGAAGGTGGGGAAACCAATAGAAATAAAAAAAAAACGTTTCTTTATTTTTTTAATGATTTTAGCAATTGGAAAAGCATTTTTGCGCTTATGCTCTTTAAATTTCAAAATCATTTTGGTTGACATCATTTTCATACAAATAGCTTTACTAAAAACACTGAATCAAGGGGTAATTCAATTGGATGACTGGATGAAAGTATGGCTCCATGGATGGCTGTATCAATGACTGAATGCAACGATGAATGGCTGGACGAAAAATGGAGATGTTTGACTGATTTGATAGTTTGATCGATGGATGGGTAGGTGGTTGGACCGATGGATTTCTGGAAGAAAAAATTAATTAGATGGATACCTGAACAGATGGATTATTGATTGCATGGTTGAAAGATGGAGGGCTAGATGGATACATGGCTCGATGAAATGCTGGTTGCATGGATAGATTGTAATGCCTTGATGCATGGATGGTTGCATTGATGGACGAGAGATGGAAGGATGAAAGGATGCATGGCTGGCTGGAAAGACGGAAATGGCTTGGGGATAGTTGAATGAATGGAAAGCAGGCTGGCCAAATTATTGGGCGATGAATGGCTAGATGGACTGCTGATTGGATCGATGGACGAATGATATATGATTAGATACATGGCGTGATGGATGGAGAGATGGCTACATGAATGGTTGGGCGATGGTTGTACGAACGGATAGTTGGATATTCGAATGAATCATTTGAGGGATTGCTGGTCGTTTGGAAGGACGGCTGGATGAATTGATAAATGGATGATGGTTTGATGGATAAATGGCTGCATGGAAGCCCGGATGGATGAATGGTTTAATGGATAGATCGTGGGATAGACGGCTGGATGGATGAATGGCTTGATGGATGGATGGCTGGATGAAAAGGTGTCTGGGTACCCGAATAGACGGATGGCTGGACGGATAATGGAGGAATTGACGATGGCTGGCTACATGGATCGTGGACGATAGATGGCTAAATGGGTGGATGGCTTGACGGATGGCTTATGGATTGATTGGATGGATGATGGATAGAATGCAGGTTGGACGAATAGATGGTTAAACAGATTAATGGATGGAGAGATGGCTGGATAGATGGTTAAAAGAACAGATAGATGGTTTGAGGTATGGATGGATGAACGGATGGTGGATGGCTAGGAAGATGTATGGCTTAATAGATGGACGAATTGGTGGATAGATGGTTGCTTATATGTCTGGTTGAAGAGACGGATAAATGGTTTGATGGATTGGTGGCTTGATGGATGGATGGGTAGAATTTTCTCTACCTTGATGAATGGGTGGTTTGCTGGATGACATAGGTAAGCCGATTCCTAAATAGATTAGACGGATGTCCAGATAAATGGCTGGATGCACCTCACCCTTGCATTCCGTTGCGCTGTCCTGCCTCTCGTTGACCAACCCTGCGCAGCCATAATTTTCCTAGTCTTCTACTAATCTGCTTATCTTTGCTCTGCCTTGCATAGCGCTGTCTTGCCTTGCGTTGCCTTACCTCTCAGTGCCCTGCATTGCGCTGCACCACCCTGGATTGTCCCTCATCGCCCGGCCCTGCGTTACCTTATCCAGTCTTGCTCCTCCTCGCCCTGCCCCTCCTTATCATCCTTCCTTACACTGCCCTGCTCCTCCACGTCCTGCTCTGCCGTGCAATCCCTACCCTTGACCTTCCTCGGCCAACCTTGCCCCTCTTCGCGCTGACCTTCCTCGCCCTACATTGGCGCTCTTCGCCCTGCCCTGCCTTGGGCTGCCGTACCCAGGCCTAGCTCCTGCTCGCCCTTGCTCGAAAAAAACCACTTTTTAATAAATGCTAAAGGAAATTGTTGGTTGTTATTTTGATTTTCAGAAGCTTTTGACAGTGTGGAAATTAAGAACTACCAAAAAAGATAGAGGAAATTGTTGGTTTTAATATTCAATTGAAGAAGCTGTTGGCAGTGTTGGTACTGATATTAGAACTAAGAAGTGTGAATGGATATTCTCGCAAGAGGGAGTTTTAGGCAATTTCCACGTGTCCAAAAAAAAAACAAAAGCCAAAACGCAAGAAAAAAAAATTGAGCCTGAAGAAATTTTAAGGCTTTTACTGAAAAAAAAACATTTTTGACATTGTTCAAACCTATATAAGAGTCTGAACAACGTTCACCGACTCTTGATCAAAAATTTAGCACGCATAAACTTAACAAACGAGGGAACTACTTGTATAGCAAAAAATGAACCCGCATTAGAACACAATGGCTGCTTGTATAAAAACAATCCCTAGAATCCATTGAAACAGAACGTTAAGTCTTTAATGAAAATGCATCGCAAAATATATTCAAATTTGACAAAAAAAAACAAACCTGTTCTTGAAGGACATTTTTCAAAAATGGAGCATTAAAAAATCTCCAATGCCCTTGCTCTAAAATTGCTATCTCGTTACACGGAAAAAAGGGCCTTGGAAAACACTGCTTGCTTAATGCATTAATCGCGTCTAATTAACTAGTTAACCTAGAAAAAAAGAACGGTTCGGATTTCTATTTGTATCATATTCGTTTATCAGAATTTGAGTTTGAGTCATAAGTTCGCTTAAGTTCATATATATCATTGTAAATATTTAGTGATTTGAAGTCAAGTTCAAGTTTCCAGCAGATTTTCAAATTAATGCCCTTGTTTTTGAAATTTTGAATTGAGAAGTATAGATAAACCCAGCAACGTAGCGACAGGTTACATTCAGCAGATGACATAATTGCGCCAATCGTTTAGTACAACTGTATTTGATGGTAAATGCGATCAATTTATTATCCATAGTTAAACAGGCCACAAAATCGTTCATTTTTTTGGAAAACACGCCAAAAAACACTCAAGTACTGTTGCTGTTTTAGTATCTGATCACAGTCAGCTGCCTGTCAAAGTGATAATAATTTGATTGTGGTATAATAGCGCAATAATAGTTGTTTTTCTCTATTTAGCTGTTTTCTCTCGGCTTCTGCCATTTCCATATGAATGATTTCAGGTCCCTCTTCGTTTTTTATTTTTCAATGGCCCTTTCTTTTAGTTCCACACTTTTGCACACAAAGTTGGTTTCATTATATAAGTTTTCTCTCTCTCTTCAACGATCACTTCTCAGTATTTCTCCTCCTCAGCGGGTCACAGTTACAGTCGAAAAAGGTCTAATCTCCTCCGTTCCTGCTTGCCTCTTCATCCTTTGAGGAGCAGACGCCCATCTCTTGAGGTTGTAATTGCTGGCTAATTGCATCTCCTCCTCCTCCTCCCCCCTCTTCCGCTTCCAGTCCAGGGGGGTTATTCTCGGATTGGCGTCCTTGTTGCTTCTCCTCTTCTGTGTTCGCTTGCTGTGTCTGTGTTCTCTTTCCAACCAGTTGTCTTCTACTGATAGCCTAAATAGAGCAAAAACTTTACACTTGCTGATTTGAATAAAGATCCGAGAACTTCAGCGCAGATACTTCTCTAAATCTAGCCACCATTAACGCGTATCGAACACATGCTATTAAATTGCCAATGCTAAGCAGCCAAAGTTTTGCATCCAAGTTTTATCTAAATGAGCCTATTTTATGCGAGTTGGATTAGAAAAAGTGCGATCGGTAAAAATCATTATGCTGGCTTGTGTAAACGGCATATGAAACAAAATACCAACAATTCCGTTTTTGACAAAAACAGTTCTAAAAACAAACAGTTCTAAAATTGTTCATACGGCCAATTGCATGAAAAAGGTAATTGAACTTCTGAAAAAACAACAAGGGGGTATTGGAAAAAAGCGTTTTTGGGGGTTTCTGGAAAAACAGTTTTTGGGGGCTTCTGGAAAAAAGCTTTTTGGGGGTTTCTGGAAAAAAGCTTGTTTGGGGAATTCTGGAAAAAAAAACGTTTTTAGGAGTTTCTGGAAAAACGTCAAGGTGTTCCTTTTTGGGGGGCCAATCGACAAGTTCATCGCGATCACTGCGCTGGCTACTATCCACATGTACACGCGCTACCTGTTCTATTTTCTTTATGTCGTCTGCCAGAATGATGCGCATCTCCTGCAACTGATCCAAAGACAGACTCTCCATCTCGCTCTCCACAATCGGACACAATAGCTGACCCCCACTACTTTCGTGTCCAAACTCACCACCCTCAACTCCTCCCCCACCCCATCCCCATCCCCCTAAAGAACCACCCGCCCCTTGTCCTGTTGGTGACGTCATCAGCGATGCTGAGGCCGCCGATGGCGGGTAGCTGAGCCGATGGGAGGACGTGGAAGAGGTATGCACGTGTAGGGCTCCCAGTTTCCCCACTGCTCCCATGGGGTCAAAATAGTGAGCCTAAAAATTTTTTATTTGGATTTCACATTTCAACGTCTAATTGAGTTTTAGACGTAAATGGCACTACAAAAAGGAATTACCGAGCCTTGCAGTTGAGTGTTTGGGTTGTTTATCAACATCATTTGATCACCGCCAGCACTTCTTGATAGATCCTCGTGACTCACTGAGTGTGAGTGGTTAGTACCCCCGTCAAAACTAGACGGGTGTGACACAGATAGTGGACTTGGACTCTGACTCGGCTGGGACAATGGGGAGGGAGAGGATCCGCCCACTGCACTCCTCGTACCCCCTACTCCGCCAACTATTCCATGTGATGCGCCCCCACTTGGGACTGTGTTGTTTGCCTTTGCCTGGTAGTAGGGACTGTCCCTTCTACTGTTGTGCACTCCTCCACTCAAGCCACTCTCGCTCCCACCACTGCCATAGTTCTGAGCAATAAAAGGCAACTTTTTAAGGTTAGCAAAGTAAGTGCTAAATTTCAAACATAACCCACAGAAAAAAAACGAAAAAAAAGCCTAATATTTTTGAATTTTCGAAGAAAAAAATATATGGCCTTTAAGCTAATCGAATTTCAAAAATGATTTACGATTGACACTTTTCGACACAAGCGAAGACAAGCTGCGCATCACTTGAACGTAGAAAAGCTGCGCAACTTGAAAGTTGTCTGGAATAATGTTATATTTGTCTGGAAGGATGTTATATTTGCGCAAAAAACATCCAAAAACACAATCGTTTAATGAGCACGGCGTTTAATGAAAACTCAAAAACAATAATTGGACTTGTAAAGCAGGAAATTTCCAGTGCACAAAAAAGACAGGTTCCGAGCTCACTCGAACACCAGGCCTTTAGCTTCAAGCATGCGCGTGAGAAAACTGGATCAATAAGTTAACTTTTTCTTGTGCTGGGAAATCCGAAAATTAAAATTCGAAACTAGAAGTCGATCACGTTTTTCGCGACCTTTACACTTTTGCTGTTCGATAGAAGGATTTGCCTTCCTTTCAACAAATGAAATGATCGGAACTTAGAAAGAAATCAAAAGTCAATCCGCGAAAAAGTAAAATAAGAGCGTGGACAAATTGTAAGACTTCCTGGAAAAACGAAAAAAAAAATCACGAAGATTTACATAAGAATATTCACTACGTTAATGACTCTTACAAAGAAGCAAAAAATGAGCCTTGAGCAAAGAGACACAGCGGAGCTTTCAACCACTTCCGATACCAAGCAAATATAGGATTGCAAGTTAGCAGGCAGAAAAAATGAAAATAGCCACGTCAAAAAAAAAGTCAAAATAACCGCATTTACAAAAACTTCCAATTTTTTTCGGATGATATTCAAATTGAAGAAAACTCATCCAACAACAACAGCCGGCATTAAATTAGCATTCAGAAACAATTAAGGAGCGGCAACTGAGCCGACAACAAGATATCACTTAGAGCTACAAATTTCAAAGCTGAAAAATTTGAAACACGCGAAGGTCACTTATCCAATAAAACGTAAGTCGAAAGCATAAAGGGTGTTACTTAGCATTCAAAAATAATGATGAAAACTGCTCAGAACACTCGCAAATTTGGCGACTAAGCGGATAAAATATCAGGAGACTATCGAAAGGCCGATAACTTTTGGAAATGAACATTTTTTTTTTCAATTCGGTAGAGATTGCTCAATTGCTCCCAAAAATCTTCATAACATATTTAAGAGTCTTCGCGACGTTCATTGACTCATAACTACGGATAAACTACCTCTATCTGAACTCACAATAGGCGGTGGTTCGCTTGAATCCAGTGGGTGCGATGACGAGAAAGGGTAGTGGAAGTTGTGGTGGAATACTCTCGCATCCTCAGGGTGGTCATCGTCTTCCAATCCTGCCAGGGAAGACATTGTGGGGTCACTGCAGTTGCGGGGAGAGAGGGTGGGTGATAGGGCAGCCAGAGGCGACAGACGGGGGATGTTCACTGGCTGAGACGCTAATTTAGTATGCACCATACCTATAACAAATCACAAGCCCGATAATTTAACTAGCTTTTGCTCCGACCGGTGGAAACAAAATATGGCGTAGGATGTTTTTAGCCGAGTTTGAATACCTCAAAATAGCTCGTAGGAGGCTAAATGTGGTATCATTTTACAGGCTAGCGGATTTACGGGGTTGGGGGGGGGGCTCACATGGCTTTCACAAGGTGCCCCTTTGATACTATTGTACGACATCTGTTTGCTGACCACCGACGGACCGCACAATAGTATAGATTTGAGGTTTATACTTTTTATGCTAAAAAACACGATTGTTAGTCAGAATCTTCCAAAATCATTTTCTCGTTTTTTGAAAAATCTGCCGCAGTGTAGGAAATTTTCTCAAAATAGGATCTTTGTAGTGTAAACTAGATAGAGGCTAACCTCCAACTTTGATTCCACTACATTTTCAATGTTATATCAGCTATTAATTAGCAATAAACCATAGAACTTTTTACTCGCTCTTCAAGTTAAAAAAATAACTTAAATTTTGAACACAAAAAAAATTGAAAAAATAAAATTAAAATATTTTAACGATATTTCAATTTTTCCTTCATATAGTTTGGTTGAAAGAGTCTATTCTTTTTTGAGTTTCAGGCAAAAATTCGAAGAAAAATACATCACGTTGAAGCTCTTTGAACTACAGGACTCTTATCGTTGGACCTTACTATTATAAAACTATCCCAATTAGAGAAAACTGGGACAATGGGTAAACTTTTTTGATCCGCTGGGAATTCTGAAATTAAAAACCACTTTCGAAACTTTCAGTCATTCACTTTTTTTGGCACATTTCTTATTTTCTAATTGAAGAGTGCAATTTCCATTTCATTTATCCAATGAATTTTCATTGAACCAAAAAAAAACGAAATCAAATTTCAGCGTGAACAACTTTCAAGACTTTTTCTTGAAAAAATATCAGAACGATCTCATTAAGTGTCTTCACTCCGTTCAGGGACACGTCGTCATTTAAGTTTAGATTTTAGAAGCTAAGTCCATGATATGAAATTATTCAATAATTGGTAGATGCTTCATATGATAATGATTATGATACGCATTTAGCTTTCGACAATTTAAGTCGACGCGTTGCAAAACAGCAAAGGGCAAGAAAATACAATTCCAACATACCCATTGGACCCATGAAATCGCCTCCTGAAAGGTGGTGCGACTGGGCCTGGTTCGCGGAGGAGGAGGGCGACTGCATGTTCCACGAGGAGGCCCCACTCGCACTAGTACTGCTGGCCGAATTCACTGAGTCACTCAGTCTACTATTCATTCTGCCCGCTGCATCTTGCGTTGAAGGGGGAGGCGCGAAACCCGCAGAGAAGAGACTATTGCTATTATTATAACTATTCAGTCTCTCCATAAACATTCGGTTGGAGTTCATGTTCGACAGTGACTTTTGATCATAGACTGTTCTGCCGTCTTCGAATAGACGTGTATTGGGATTGTGACTGTATGAGTTGCTGTCTTCAAACATCATCGACATCTCAACCGAAGAGGACTTATCCCCGAACAGGTCTACCTCTCCACTAAAAGATGCACCAGTTCTATTCTCACTCGGCATTGCTGCTCCCGTACCGCCTACAGCTCCTCCTCCGACTGAAAACCATAATTCATCACATCCTGTCATACATTCAAAGATTGGCTCCTCCGTTAAATTACTGAAAAAATATAATTCGCATACACAAGCAAAAATATTACCGATAACGCTACAGGGGAAAACTGAATGAGTAAAACTTTGAGTCTAAAAAATTTCTTAAGTGACGCACGCCAATTATGAGTCTTCATAATTGCTAAGTGACGCAAGCCAATTATGACGCATTAGCAGAACCAGTCAATTTGAAAAAAAAAGAAATTTACCAACTAACATGCCTCAATTTATAGAGTAACTAGTATACCTCCTTCCCTACCTCTACGCTACAGATCCATGATACCTTGAAGCTAAAGTGCTTTTTGTAATATAATAGTCTGTCTTAATCTCCTTAGCATTGGCTGCACTTAATCGCTTGTTATTGATCAAAATGAACACTTTCAAAATGAACACTAATATTTGCTACTAAGGTTGGAAAAATAGAGGGTTCATACGATCACACAAGCTTTGCTTGTGTAAACAAGCAAAGCCGGTTGTTAAATAGATTAGACGAAAGCCTAAAACTTAAGTGTATTCGACAGTCTTCGTAAAAATGGGAAGATGGACAACAGTTGTTGTCAAAAATGACTAGAAAAACAAAACAAAATCGTAAAAAAAAACTAAATTAAAAAAGATCTTTTGCAATTTTTTTTTTGATTTTTTTGAATCCCAAAATGGCGTTAAAAAACTCATTTAGCTAGAGGCGCTAGAAAACTAATTTAAGTAGAGCAAATTTATATTTTCAGCGCGTGAAAAAGCTTACTAACCTTCTATAAAAAGCTAATTATACGCCTGCTTGCTCGCTCTATTCGCTCGAAATTAAACCTAAAAATCTCGAAAATATATTTTAATGACTTTCAAGTTTTTATAATGAAGTTCAAAACACGACTAAAGGGATTTAATATATAACACTCGGTACCTGTCCGATGATTATTTTTGGTACCTGATTTTGTGGGAAAACAAAATTTTACACCACAAAGCTTCCAATTAAAGACCTTATTTTAAAGTGCATAATAGTTATCTTGGCATTACTTGAATAGATTGAGTAAAAACGATTATCACTATTCGATGAATTCAATTTATCGACGAAAACAGCTTTTACCATCATTTAGGCTATAGTCAAGATAAATTCCTCCAACATAAAGGTTGGTAATTTTATTGACATTCGGATTGTTGTGAAATGTATACAAAATAATGCCATCTTTTGTCCAAACACTTAGAATACGGCTATCACTTTTCATCATTTTTAAAAACACGGATCGCGCTGGGCTCAGATCTTCGAATATTTTAATTTCTTTCTTGTCCGTTGACTTCGCTAGTTCTTCCTTTTTCCGCATACGATCAATTTTCGCAGCCCTTTGTGAAAACTTGACAACTATAGGTTTAATAGCTCCTTTTCCAGTTGGTAGGCGGTGTGTAATGGAGATAATTTTTCCTCAATGCAGACATGAACTAATTTTGAGGGTTCTAGCACCTTTTGCAAGGTTTCTTCTGACTTCTCATTGAATGTTTTTTCCGTGTTCATCGGTTTTACCCTCCTCTCTTAGCCCAAAAATTTTGACTATCACTTCTGTAATATGTTTCCAGCTTTTCTGTCACACACTTTGTCATCACGTGATTTTCGCTTTCGCTGAATTAAAGACCTTGCTCCACTTAAGCTATAACTTAGTAGGAACTGCATTGCTGATTGCTTTTTCTACCGCAGAACTTATCGAAAGTAACTTTGTGTCGCTTTCGTCTTCGCTAAGTGGGCTCAGAACTTTTGGATCAGACTCCTGCAGTGCTCTTCACTGCAGGAGTCTGATCCAGATATCGCAGGACGGGAACGTTTGCTTCAGTGCTGTTGTTTTCTTCTACTTGCTTTTCAGTGTTTTGAACTTCTAATGAATTGGGTGGAGTAGTATTCATGTCTCTACTGAAACTATTTAATAAGTTTATCACAGCAATTAGGCTAATAAGCATTTTAATAACCACTAGGTACTCACATAAAGGAGAGTCATAAAAATGAGGACTGCCCACTATCAGATTAACTGCCCCTCCCCCACCCAGACCACCAATGCCCGTCTCTTGTTGTCCTCCCGAGGGGGGATCCCCTAACCAACTGAAGCTGCCTCCACTACTCAATCTCTCCCTCTCCCTCTCGTGCGAAGTTGCTACCGCTGTGTTGTGACGCAATGACGGTGATGCAATAGGGACTCCCCCACTGCCACTTGCTCCTCCCCCTGGCACAGAGGGTGGCGAGGGTGTGGATCGGGAGGAAGAGAAGAGAGCGTGACCGAACCAGGGATTGCCTCCAGTCTGATAAAAAAAGCTTTCAGCAACAGACACTTTTAAAAAAAAGCAATTAAGAAAAAGTTTCAAAAAAACTTGTGAATCGTCAAAAAAAAGTGCCCTTCTCTTTTTTTGATTTCCCACATTTCTTTATTCGTTTTCGATCGAATGTGATTATAGCACGTTTCCTCAGTTCAACAGCCGACATTTCAAGGCAACTCAAATGAACCCAAGACTGAACGTAATATCAGGACTTATATGCAACAAAACAGCACCACAATGCAGAAGCCTCAGAAAAGCTTCAACTTAATGGAGCCATAGTTCACGTTAAGTTCTGATTTAAACTTCCGAATGCTTGTAGCTTCGAAAACAAAATATACAAAAAACTTGAAGATTTACAGAGATTCTCAAAATGCGGGATAAACTCTGCATGATATGATGGCAATTTTGTACATGTTAATAGTTATGTCAACTGTTGCAGCTCGCTTTTGGACCTAAGAAGCTGTGTTACACGAAGTAAATCAAAAGATCCTCACTTCGGCTCTGGACGTCTCAACAAGCTCCCGATCGCCTTGGATTTGTACAAATAACCCTTGACATAAGCCCTGGCGGAATAATAATGAAAATTGCAATTTTTTAATTCCCGGGATTGGTTACAGTGATTTTAAATTTGATTAAATTTACGAATCTACTTTTTAAGCTCACCTGCTTGCGAGGCTGTTGGACTGCCGCGGTGGTCTTGACCACACGGGTGGGACTGTTATTGCCAAGACACTCTACCCCAGGCAGCAGCGAATTATCATCTAAAACAAAATTATACTGATCACTAACAAGCGCTTAGTTGTACAGGCGAGATAACATTGAGCTTGCAGTCATTTAAAAGGCCTACTCGACAGGTATATAAGCGATAGGATCTCAACAGTTTAAGGGTCCAGAAGTGCCTCTCGTGGACGACCCGACGGTAGTGCGAACAGCCGCAAATGGCACTTACCCTACCCTACCCTCCCAAGCAGGGGAGCACAAGAAGCGTATCGACCATTTTCTTTGAAACTTAAAAATCAGCTTCATATTCTTTAATTATTCAAAATCTACGAAAAAAAGCATGGACTTTTCAAACTCACGTTTAAAGCAAAAATAACCCCGTAGACAAAGACTTACCTGGTTGCAAAGAAATTTGTTCAGCTCTTAATCCAATGCCGCTACAGTCTCCTCCTCTTCCATCCAGTTCGAAGGATCCAGAGCCAACTAGACTGCTTCCTTTATGCTCTTCCATTCCAGCCTGTCCAACTCTGGTCGCCACTCCCCCTTTTGCAACTGCCGAAAAATCTACAGACGGGTTATTTTGGGGTACATTTTGTTCCATGGCTTGCTGCACTGGATGACGTCTCAGCACTTGGCTGTAACATCCCTTCTGTAGAGATTGTGCTGTCTTGCTCGATCTTGAACCTTCAGTGCTCCCTGACACTTGACCTCCGCCGATTCCAGTTCCTACTGAAGCTGCTTGAACTCCAATTGACCTGCCAACTTCGCTCCCAGATGCTTCTTCATTATTGTTCTGGTCCTTTTCCCTCTGCTCTCTGTTCCACCAATCTCCGACTGAATTCCTCTTGGAACCCAATTTTCCCGAAACATCTGCAGCTCCTCCAGCACTTGCATCAAAGGTCGAACCAGAAGCTGACGCCAACGTGACTCCCCCACTTCCTACGTTGTTCACATTAACCCCTGTATTCTCCTGGTGGGAGAACGCACAATACACTCCCCTGGGACATCTACCTCCTGTCTGCTGGAAGTCATGACACTTGGTCGTCTTGTAGATCTGCACAAAACATCAGAAACCATATAAAAAAAATTTAAAGCTGAATGTTTTTTTTTACCATTTTCAGATTTATAACCAGCAGATTGATTCTTCAGAAATCAGTAATCCGTGTTCATTCTAGAATTCAAATCAATGTATCTAGAATTTCTGTAAATAATCAGTAACTATGAACATCACGGCCACAGTTGTCTTGCATCAGCTGCAAAAACAACAGCACTTACATCTGGATGAAACTGCTGCTCAACTCTTGTATGACAAAATCCACACTGATCCCCCTCTTTACACACACTCGGTTCACTCCACTCTCCTCCGTCCCCACCTCCTGCCCCACTCTTACCACCCCCTCCCCCTTTCACAGTCGCACAGGGGGTGTGTCTGTAGCTGTATACGAAAGGAGAGCGTCGTCTGTCTTTTGTGTTATGAAATAGGGGACAGGCAAATCCTTGTCTGCATGCACCCCTACTCACACTACTTCCCCCTCCTCCTCCCCCAGAGCTGCTTCTCTTACAAGGCTGACTCTTGTAGTTGCGTAAGATGTAGTCTCGATCTATAACACAGCATACATCTAATGTCAGATTATGCTAGTAACACAATGTACTTCCAAAAAAAACCCGAAAAGAATTTTCTGGCACTTTTCCAGTCTCCCACTCCTTTTAAATACATTTATGAAACTTTAAATACATTTACAAATTCAATACCGGAAATTGCGTAATACAGTAGGGTTCAAAAAGTTGTTCAAAGAAGTTTAAAAAAGCTGCTCGTATCCTAAGAAAAAATTTCATCCAAACAGTTTTCAAGTTTTTATGAACAGCAAAATAATTTGAAGTAGCCAATCAGCGCACATCAAAAGGGTAACCGGCAAAGATCCGAATTTATTTCATCGATTCGAATTTATGTGTTTTGAGCGCAACTTGCACTACAACATGAAAATAGCATGGCAGCTAGTCGAAAGAGTTTGAGACGAACCCCAGTCGGAAAAAAAATTGAAAAAAGCCAAAAAAATTATCACCCAAATTTTTTATACATTTGTCTCGAACGAAAAAAACTTACAAAACCCGATATGCAGAACTATGGCAACTTTCAAGAAAACGATTGCCAGCGTTTAATTAGATTTAATTTATTTAGCGATTATTAGGCAGACAAGTCATGTTCCGATTTAATAGCGCTTGCTAACGACAAGCGCATTTTTGCCATAAAACTCAATCCAGGAAAAAAACACGCTTTTGGATCATGTGCTATAGTCGCGAAACGCCTTTGTATCCAAAAAACAAAGAATTGTCATAAATATTTTTTGGATTGTTTTTTTAATTAACTTTTAACGAGCCTTCATAAAATTCAATATGCCATTACTTCGAAATGATTTGCAGGGAAAATGCTGACCCTAACTAAAATCAGGATGCCAAGTTGTTTAAAAAAAATAAGTCCCAATATAAAAAAGAAAAAAATTAAGTTTGCTGTTCGATACCCGAGTTTCCCTTCCTTTGAACAAAAGAAATGAGCTGAGCCTAAAAGACTGAGTCGAAGCAGAACTTTTCAACAATTGCGATACAATTAAAACATTGCATCGTAAGATGTTGAATATAAAAAAAAAAATTGAAAAAAATAAGCTGAAAAAAATTACTGGAAAGAAGTCGAGAAAACTAAATCTCATACATTTCTCTCGAATCAGGCTCAAAAACAGCCTTAGCAAGCAATGAGAATCATAGACCGAACGGATAATTAGACAAAAACTTCTGTTGATCCTCGTTAAGCCGAAAACGAAACTGTAGTAATAAAAATATTTCAAGCTAAGAAGTTTTTAAAATAAAATTTGTGGCAATCCATCCCTCCTGAAACCAACTAACCTCTCCAGCGTGGATCTTCGTTGGCCTCGTTTCTCTCCTTGTCCAGTGCGGAGGGGAAGCTAGCATCGGGGGAAGAAAGACAACAAGCAACCTCCCGCTCCTCCAAAGTGTCTACCACTGCACTCCTGGAACAAGCACAGTGCACACTAGTAAATTACATCAGATAGATTACTATATCAAACATAATGTTGCGACCTCTAACTGGATATAAAAGTTATGATCCGTGTTTCCTCAGGCAAAAAATGTCGAAGTAGTTTGGATTAAAAATAGTTTTCCGCCTCTGCATCAAATCATGTTTAGCGTGAACAAATTATAAAAATACCGGGCCACCGCTAAAATGGTCGCACGTAGGGTATCTTTTTATTGAACAAAGGACTTCAAACAACAGTTTTTAAGGATACAATAATTCATTCACTTTCTTCAGAAGTCAAAAAGCAAAAAGAATCTTTGTTTCACTAAATCAATTAATGCTTTTTCGTTTTGAGCCAATGGATAATTTTTTGAATTTGAGCCACTAACTTTACCTATAAAACATGACTTACACAGAGGCTAAGCTGAGCTTCTCACCATTTGCGATACAACTAGATCTATCAAAATAATTGAAGATAAATGTGAAACAAAAGAATGCAAAATCAGCATCGTAGCAAAATCAACCACGCGGTGACAAAGTCGAAAATAATTGAAAAAAACTCTTCAAGCCATTTTTTTTAAATTCAACAGTAATTGAAAATTTTACGTCCCCCTTCCCCTCAAGACACAGAAGCTTTTTTCGCGCATCGAACGACGCAAAAAGAGGCTACAAAGCCGATATAAAACAAGCCGCAAAAAAAAAGAAAAAATCAACACAGAGGCGAAGCTGCGCTTCCCAAACACTTGCGAGAACACGACCAAAAAAACAGCTCTATCAAGTGAAATAAGAAAAGCAGAAATGAGCCTCGAATTAGCAAAAACTCGGCTGCGTGTAGGATTCGAATCTGCGACCTACTACAATCAAGAGATTTTGAGTCTCACCCACTATCCACTGAGCCACACAAGCTTAACAACCGACAAAGTTTAGCCACGAATAAAGCAGCATCATATGCTAATAACTTGCCAAAGCGATTCAGTAAAAGTAGAAATTATGCATTTCAAAAAATTGCGAGATATCTTGAGTTAGAAAATTTCTGAAATCGAATTTTCATTTTGTTATGTTGTTTGAAACAAATCACTTCATACCATGAATTAAAAACGCATCAACTGTGTTAACTTCAAAGCACGTGCTATGAAAAAGCTGTGAAGGTGCCCCAAAAGTGGCATTAATATTTGCGACTTAGGTTGGAAATAAAAAGAAGGTTCGTTTAAATACACTCTTTTCGCAAGTGTAGTAAACAGAGAAGGACAACTGCAATTAACTTTCAAAGCTCAGAGGTGAACCTAAAAATTGTCTTTCCTAGCCGACAAAAATAGGCCGAAATAATTCGGGCCGAAAAAAAAGAAATCAAAAGTCAAAGTAAGTAAAGTTACAAGTAAATCAAACACTAAAATCACCATTCAAAACATGCGCGCAGCAAAAAAAAAACGATTCCAAGATGTGGCAACTAAGACGACAAAAGATAAGCAGACAAATAATTGGCCGAAAAATTTATTTGAAATAAAATTTCCCGTTTGAATATAAAATAGGTCCGACCAACGACCTTTGTTTCCCAGACTCGTTACCTCCAGGCTAAAAGGACCGGAAACGCTAAAAAAAATGAATTAGTTATGATACAAGGTAACACTCGAGATAAGTCCAGATGAAATGAGTCCTGTGAACGAAGTTATTTACGGGAACAAAAGTCTAGTACCCGATTGCAACACATTTGCTAATGGCAAGGGTAATGAACATCATGAAAAAATCAAAAAATAGGCATAACTTCTTGACTTAAGTACTTGTCCAAAACCACAAGACACTCAATTGTTTTTTAATTTGTTTAAAAATGCCCTAATTTAAGGCACATTTGATGCTGACGCAAATAAGCCGGCAAAATAGCTGACAAATAGAAGTCAGACAAAAAATTTTGACAAGCGGACAATTTTCCGCTCACAAAAACAGGTCCTGGCCGGATTCGAATCATTGACTTTTGTATTCATAGGCAGGTGAGTTAGAGCTTGGCCACATGCGCGAAGTAACGTCTGACGTTTGATTTAATATCAGCCTAATTTAAAATTATTCAAGTGATTCTGTTAAACTAGTTCAATATATGCGATTAAAACTTGTTATCAACTGTCGAAACCAGCCTGAGTTCTTGTGGTCCGTGTGCATAGGGGCAGTGTCCTCTCTCTTTCTCCAATCTGCACTTGTGAAGATCCTTGCCACTGTCCTTCGGATTCTGACCTCCTGTTGCTGCCATAGGGTAGTGACAAATACTGGTCTTGTAGAATCGAGGGTGAAATTTCCGTTCTGTGTCACCCGCATTGTGGTGCAGATACTTGCAGCTGAAAAGTATACTTCCCAATAACAACATTGGTGACAATGATTTACTTTTGTTCCAAACATTGTAGCAAAATTTGGTGAACACAGACTGAAAGAAGTAAGACTATAGATTGCTAAAGGGTTGTTGGGCAAACTAAATATATGAAGCCAACGAAAAAAGGCAAAGGAAAGTTTCAAAATTTTCAATGCAACCAATCGTGTTATCTTTTGAAAAAAAAAGACAAAACTCCGTTTCAGCGAGTTCATTTTTCTTATAGCCAACTAATTTTATTAGGCTGATGAGCGGTTGCTCTAATACCACATTTCACTTCCCTGGTATAAAATAACAATACATCGAACTAAATGCATTCAATTCTGGAAACTTTGCTATGATGCTGTTATTCGTGTCTTTTCTTCATCTACCATTAAATAAAAATTAGGCGAGACATACCTGGGTATTCACACATTTCGCCCCAGGAATCTTAAACTAAGAAGCGGCGATTGATTAATTGTGTAAGTTAGGGGCGAAACGTGCGAGGACGAAATGTGCCACTAAATTTAAGAAGGGCGAAATAATGTGTATGATGCGACATGTGGCACATTCACATACCTGTCGCCATCCGAGCACTGTCCAGTCTCGAGTGAGTATTTGAGGCAGTATACATGCGGAGAGTAGGAGTAGTAGTTTTCTCCCCTCTCTCTGTCTCTTTCCATGCTCACGCGGCGTCTCCTCTGAGCTCGAAAGTGGAAAGAAAAGCAACCAAACGGCTTGTGAAGTCGACATCCGTTCACTCCCCCGCTCGCGAAATCAACGCATTGCTTCACCCGAAATTGACCCAGGTACCTATAATAAGAGCATTCATTGTAATGGGCGATTTTGTTGCAGTTTTTTAAGCTTTAACATTTTCAAACTTTATATGGCCATCCTACTCGTCTTACAACTACTTGCCTATTTAAATATATTTTACCTCAATTCATGAAGATGATAATTACATGGACGCCGTTCAACCCAATACTTCTCAACGCATAAGCGATACAGAGAAATAATAATTAATTTAAAAAAATACCAAACACTTTTGTTAGTTTTTCCAATTTCAAAGCTTAAATCAAAAACCGCCTAAACAATAAGCCCCTACTTAGAGAAACGACGTTTTTAACTTTCTAGTTTCGCAGAATAAAGTATATCTCATTAAATTTCTTCGAATTTCAGGAATCTTTCATGATTTGGCACTGATTTCATTTCAAACTTTATTTGAGAAAATTCGAGCAACACCTTCCTTCAAGCAAATGAATTTGAATTGAACTTCTGTTGATAGAAACCAAAGATCCAACCGCAAATAACAAATTGAGCGCTAGCAACGAAAAAAAACATAAATAACTGTCTTCACTACGTTCCTCGACACTTGGAAATCATATCAGGATTATCGCCACTGCTTAGCAGAAAGCTGCCTTCAAAAAAGCAGGCACTTTTTCGAGAAAAGCAAGAAACAATAAAAAGAAAGCCAGTAAGATATGAAGAGTATTTTAACAGATCAAAAAACACGCAAAAGCCAATGAAAAAACGCTTAAACAGTGAGTACGCTATAAACAAAAAAATGAGCTAAAAAACGTTAATTTAAACACTCGTGTAAATTTCAGAAACCTAATTTTCAACAACCTTAAATTCCACTTGAATTATCGATACCTAGCGACAAGGGGAAGACTGGAATTTGGAAAAAAAATTGTTTTAGAAGGTAGAAAATGAATGGGATTTAACTCAGCAACGCATTTTGGCCGGGGGATTGTGAGTTTTTGACGTTAACTAAGTTTGTGAAACTAAAACTGAAAATAATTTAACTCAGTTCTGAACAGTTTGACTTTTTCTCAATTAAATTTTGACAAAAAATGAAATGTTGATGATCTGGATTTTTAGCTAAGAATTGAAAATATACCATCGAGACAAAAAATAGAGCTTTTAATTATTTCAAATTTACGAAGGGGGAGTTTTTCTTAGCTAAACGGCTTTTTGGAGTTATAAACCCCGAACTGGTGCTTAAGTGATTTCAAGATGAGCTGCGAAATTTTTAGTGGTACCTTCATTATTTTATCGACAAGGAAACATCTCTCTTTTAAAAAAAACACAGTAAACATAGCCAACCGACAGTTAGAAAAGAATTCATAAAACGCAACGAAACAGAAAAAACTAGCGTGCTTTGCAAAAATTCTCGAATTACAAAGAAAATTTTTTATATCCTTATAATTCTTCAAAGTTTTCAGACTAAATATTAATGATCATTTGTAGAATTAAATTAACTCAATTGGCTCTTTTGCCTTCCCCCCTCCACCTCACACGAACATGAATTTTATGATGTAACGGATAGTTTTACAAGGTTAATTATGAAGACCAAATATGTTTGTCATAACATAATTAGTCAGCCTTCCATCTTTCATAACAATTGAACAAAAAAACATAATTTTAACTAGTAAAATTTGGCAGGTGCGTGGGAAGGAAAAATAGCTACACAGTTTGAGAAAAACGTATTAACAGGTGTCATTTTGGTTCGTCTCAGACATCCATAATTGAAATCCAACTTTCAAATTAGAATTTGATCATGTTTTTTGTGACGTTCCTTGTTTATGCTGTTTGATAGTGAAGTTTGACTTCTTTTTGACAAATGATTTGAATTGAAAAAAAAAAACAGATGTCAAACCACGAAAAATTAAATTTTGCGTACGAAAGAAAATTTGAAGACCGTTCCTGAAAAAAAAACAATCATTTCGTCCACTTAAGAAGGTTAACCACCGTCATGATTCCCGCTCCTAAGTAAACAAAGAGTAATGAACAAAATGATTTGATTTTTTTTGATAATAAAATATCTTTACTCTTCGAATATTAAAAAAAAACAATTTATGATTGATGTTTTTTCAAAAATAATCAATAGAGAGTAGGAAAACAGTCAATGACAGCAAAAAAGCTTCTGACATGTTTTTTGAAAAATCTCAGCTTTCGAATTTCAGAGAAAAAAAATAGATACCGTTAGAGCTCTTTAAATTTCTAGAACAATTAATGATCAGCACTTTTTTTGATAAAGTTTGAGAATAACCCTCAAGACTTCATTAGCAAAACAAATCATTAAAGAGAAAAAATTCGATTACGCTGAATAAGACGTTTGCAATTGTAGCATAGAAAATTATTGCATTTTCAATTTTTCAGCATAAGCGCGTTCACTTAAACATATTAACTTTCCAATTGAAGACAAAACCGACAGGTTCAGTGAGAAAAAAGCCAGAAACTCGTATGAAAAAACTTATTTCAATAATGAATTTAATATCTAAATAGAAAACAGAAGTGAAACTAAGCCGGCACGAAAAATTTCTCAAGCACGAATACATACATAGCGCGAAACAATAAGATCCGGCTGGGATTCGCACCTCAGATTTTTGAAACTTTCCACTTACCACTTTACTAAGTAGCCAGCTGCACAAAAGTAGTTGATGTTTCATTAATAAAGCAAGCTAAATTTCAAAGAAACTTGAAACAAAATTTTTTGGATAGACAGAGGCGAAGCGGAGCCATACATTACAAACCAGTTGAGGAAAACACAGTTGAGGAAAACCAGCAAACCAGTTGAGGAAAACACAGGTTTCACTTTGCAAACACTAGTGACAACACGACAAAAAGCAGCTCTAGAAACTGCCATAAAAAAATAAGCCTCGAATTTGTAAAAATTCGGCTAAGTCTAGGATTCCACCTGCGACCTGCAATCTAGACCTAATACACTCACACAGAAAAAACTTATTTTATCAAACGACGCAAAATGAGGCCACATAGCCGATATAACATAAACCGAAACATCTTGAGCCATTTAAAAAAAAACCTGAAACTATGCCAAAGCGATCGTTATTTATAGCAAACATGAAATAGCAAACTTCGAATAGGATAGGTATTTAATATTAGGACAACGGTTGCTTACTCTTCGAACCGGTGTTGAATGGAGTTCTATTAAATGGTTTAGCAAAAAACGGAGCTCAGAATTAGGAATCACTCGTCCTAGCGTCTGCCGCATAGTAACTTCAGTTTCCAATCAGACGCCACCACATAAAAACAATCAATATATGATGTTAATGCAGCAAAAAACACAGACTAGGGGTCCAGTCACAGCCGGAAGTAACTCTTTGATAACTTCAAATGAACTGATGCAAAACGTTATGAGTAATTTCCAAATGTCAAAAATTGAAAAGGTCTTGGCTGATTTTTCATCAAAAGTACTAAAAAAGGCATGGCGAAGGAAATCAGAAAAACATTTCAGTTTGATTGATTTCTTAAACTCAAAAGTGGCGTTATGGAGAAATTGAGCAAGTCCACAAAACAGCTCAAAATAACACTGATTGGATATTTAACAGGTCCATAGCAGATTCATGGCCAAAATTGGTAAAATTAGCCCATGCAGGGGAAACGCCTTCAAGTTGTTCTTTGCAGTTAACCCTTAATTTAAGAATTGGCAAGGTAGTTTTTAACAAAATCAGAACTGTCCTTTTGAACTGTCAAATTACCTTCCTAGGTCCAAAATGGTTCTTCTAATATGGAGCCTAGTCGCTTATACAGCAAAATTTCATAGGACCTGTTCCTTGATTGAACTCCAAATCTCAGATTGGCAGGTTAATTTTGGAGGATTCGAGGCGTGGTTTTCGAGAAAAATCAAGTTTCCAAAAAGCACTAGCAAACAACCTTCATGAAAAACTTAATTTATTGAGCAAGAAAATTTTCTTCAAAAATTAAGACAATGCAGCTAGATCAAAAAAATCTGCAAAACCTCTTCTTTTTATTGTACCCTTAATAACAGATTTGGCAAGGTAATTTTTGAGAGAAGTTAAAAAGTTTCCATAAGAGCAAAACCTGAAAACTTCACATTTTCTATAGACATAACTCAAAAATTGGTCGAATTGTCAAATATTTCACCTATTAACTCCATTGCTGATTGCTTGCCAAAACTAAAAGAATCAGTTGATGCTCGAGATGTCCCTACAACTTGTTCTTCGGTTTCACCATAAATCTGAGATTTAGCACAGTAGTTCTCCGAAAAAATTCAAACAAACGGTCAACATTTCAAAACGTGGAATTTTCGAACACCAAAATTGATTTTCTACAAAAACACAGGCGTAGCAAAATAAAGATAGAAAAATTCCGCAGAGTTAACCCCTTCAACTCAACCATTACTCACGAATTTGGCAGGTTAGTCTCCAGGAAAAATTTTTGAAAAATGGCCAAAATTTCAAGAATTAGACTTTGCTTAAGTCAAAACTAAATTTCTAGACAGACATGCTTCTATGTTTTCTTTGGGCCCTTAATCTCAGATATTGCAGCATGGTTTTAGATTTTAAAAATTCAAAAGTTACCAAAAAATGGTCAAAACTTTAAAAATTTGACAATTTATATTTCTATAACTTTTTTCCACAAAAAATAGGGCGTACCGGATAGTGTTTAAAAAATCCTTATACCGTTTCTTGTAATTGAATTTATGATCTAAGATTTCTTTTTCGGCACGGTAGCTTTCTAGACACAAAATAATTTCGAAGACACGATCAAGTTCTAAATTTGGGCATTCTCTAGGGCCATAGTTAGTTTCTACAAGAACAAGGCGTAAAAGCTTATGCAGGTGAGATTCCAAAGAAATTTTCTTTTGTTTGAAGCCTTTAATGATTTCAGATTTGATGGGGTAGTTATTGAAAACTGGAAAAAAACGCCAAAAATTACTCAAAAGCCAAAAATACAAAAAAAGAGACTAGCAAAACATACGTCACTGTGCCAGTCGGTCATATTTGGAAGTTTGACCTTGGGAGAAGCAAAAAACACTTAATTTTGGG